ACATGGAGGGCTTCTCGGGGCTCAAGGTTCTGAGGGCCCTGGGTGTCCACACGCAGTGACCAGCCCACCCCACCCAAGCCTGGTGTACCGCGCCTGGAGCAGCCAGGTCCTGACAGCCATCCATCTGCCCTGCGCCCGCTGTCTGCATAGCCAGTGGGCATCCTCAGGGACAAGCACACCTGCCTTCTGTCGGACTCTCTCAGAAAACACACGCATCTCAAAGTTCTCCTCCCTCTCTCCCTCTTTCTCTGTTTTGGAATGAGGTTTCTGTGGAAGCGTTCCAGCCTCCACGCCGCAGTGGCTCACTGCCCAAGGCAGCAAGGCTGTGGGAAGACGGCAGCCAGAGCTGGAGGTGGGGCCACCAGCAGGTGGACCCAGTTCCTGGCTTAGCGGTGGGGTCCACACCTGAGCCCTTCACACTAGCGCAGTCGGGGTCCTTGTGCCTTACTCTACTGCCTTGGACTCCCCAGTTCAGATTTCCAGGGCCGGGGCTGAGCCCAGGACCTGGGTGATGGCAGGTGAGCTCCCCACCATGGAGCTGTGCTCCCAGCCCTCTCTCTTCAGCTTTATTCTGAGAATTGTCCCGCTAAGCTGTCTGGTCGGCCTTGAATTTGCATTCTTCCTGCCTCAGCCTCCCAGGTGGGTAGGATCATAGGCGTAGGCCCCTCCTCTGGCAGGTTCCCTCTATGCCGAGTGCCATGGAACCCAAACAGGATGGTGCCCCCGGGGCTCGGGGAAGGGTGCTGAGTGGTGGCCGTGTCTGAGGAGCGTGGCACAGTCCTGCTCTCCCCAAATCCGGCAGTCTCGGGCAGGACCTAATGGAGGCTTGAGGTGCCAGGACAGTCGGAGTATGGGCTCTGGGAACTCAGCAAGGCCAAGGTGCAGAGGGAGTGGCCGTGGCAGGACCCTCGGGAAGCCAGTGTCAAGCCATCCTGGTCCCAGGGGCCCCAGGGCCAGCGAGTGGCGCCATCACCGCGCCATGGGGTACAACAAGCAGAGAGCCTCTTCCCCAAACCTCTGTAGGAGCCACCGCCAGCTGGCATGGGCCCTCCCACCCCGCTAAGCAGAGCAGGGAGGAAAGGCCTCGCCCAGGACACGCAGGAGTCAGCGCTGGGCTGAAGGAGGGAAGCGCCTGGGCTAGGGGTCCTTAGGGACAGGAAAGCCCCCACCTCCAGGCTCCTGCTGTCCCAGGCCCCACCAGGTGACAGGGAGCCCTGGGAACGGCGGGTGGTGGTGGCTGGGTAGGAAGAGGGCCAGCTTAGAGGTGAAGGGCCAGTGTGTCTGGGGCAGGCCCGCCAGCTTCCGGGAGCCAGGCACAGGCCAGCAGTGACACTGATTTGGTCACTTCCTCAGCCACACAGTGCGGGTCAGGGCACCTGGGCCGTATGGCTGGCCACAGCCGCGTGTCTCAGAGAGGCCCGCAGCGAGGTCACAGGCAGCTGGCTTGCTGCACATTTGGGGTCCGGCAGTGGCTCACGGTGCCACCCCACCACCCCAGGAGGCTGGGGTTCAGGGTCACGCTGCCCAGAGGTCCCGTCCTGGACCCATACCCGTGTCCTGCTCGGGGCGGGCCAGGTGGCGAGGCTGGCACAGGACTCCTCCCTGCCTGGCTGCCTCCTCCTGCCTCCAGCCGGCAGACCTGGGCCCCTGCCTTTGTTTCCCAGCGACCTGGAAATGGGGGAAACCTGGGTCCCCCCGGACGGTGAGGGCACTCTGGGTGCTGCGTGCAGCATGCCCAGTAATTGGAGACAGATTCTGGGCTGGGGTGGGAGGGGAGGTTCAAGCTGCAGTCGCGAGGCTGCCTTGTGTGTGTGTGTAGAAAAGGCATTTAAAACAGTGTGCGTGTGTAGTGTGTGCACTGTGCACGTGTGTGTGCTGCTTTCTCGGTTTGTCTGCAGTGTGTGTCTGAGTGTGCGCAGACATGTGTGAGACCGTGTGTGCATGAGTGTGGTGTGCGTGCGTGTGTGAGAGGCACGCCAAGTTCTCTGCACTCCTTTGTGAGTGTGAAGGGCTGGGCGTGCGTGTGCACACACGTGTGTGCATGTGTTATCCTCACAGCCCCTCTCGCTTCTCTGGGTGGCTCGGCCTCAGCCTTGGTGACTGAGTGTGGACCCGGAATCCAGTCAAAGAAAAGCAGGGGCAGAGCTTCCGGAGACCACGGCCCAAGGCCCCACCCACATCTCCTTCCCTACCCCAGGCACACCCTGGAGTGGGAGTTCACCGAGCTGCTCCAGGTCCCTGCTTCACAGAGAGGGTGGGGCGTATAGCAGGTTTTGTTCAGTTTCTATCTTTCTTTGGCGGCACTGGGGACGGAACCCAGACCCTGCCTGTGTCAGGCAAGCGCTCACCACTGAGCTGAGCCGGCGGGCCCGAGCCAGAGCTCGCCTGTTTGCTTCCTCTCCCGTCATGTGCTGCCCACTTCCCTTCTCTCCTGTCCTCTCCACGTTTCCCAACAGAGGGAATTTCTAGGGCACCCGTGGCCGCCTGCTGCCCTCCCCACTGGCTAATAGCTCAGAGGCGCTTGCTGAAAACGGGAGCCCCAGCCAGAAGTCCCAGCTGCAATTCTAGCACTCAGGGAAGCTGAGGCAGGAGGACTGCAAGTTCAAGCCCAGCGTGGGCAATTTAGCAGTTTAGTGAGATTCTATTTCCAAATATTAAAAATTAAAAAAAAATAAAAAGACCTAGGGATGTAGCTCAGTGCAAAGGCCGTGGATTCAATCTACAGTGCTGCAAAACAAAAGATAAAAAGGAATGTGGTCAGAGAGGTGGTGCTGGGAACAGATGTGGACTCAGCTGCCACGCGCGCCGTGGGACGTGGGACAGGCTCAGGCTGAAATCTCGCCAGGTGCCGACAGGGGCTCCCCGAGATGTGGGCTCTCCCCACCACACCAGTGACTGGATGAGAGGGACGGAAGCCACTCTCTCTCGGCAGCCCTGCGGTCCCGCACCCCGCCTGTGCCCACTCCGCTCCAGCTGGGGCCATCCACACCCCGGGAAAGCGTCTCCTGACCCCAGGGGGACATCAGAGCCGCGTCCTCAGCCAGGCCAGCTGTGGGAGGCTGAGGGTCCCTCAGAGGAGATCCGAGCCAGGCGCCAGCCCAACCCAGCCACTTTGACCCTCCCACTCAGGCATGTGCTTCATGAGGTGTCTCCTGGGTGACGTGACCATCACGTGAGATGGTAGTGTCATGGGGCACCCAGCAAGCACACATCAGATTTTCACATATTAACCCCGTGGACGCACTGTGTTGCCGCCCAGTGTTTCCTCTGTACTGTGTCTTGCCCAGCGGCAGGTCCTAGTCTCTCTCTCTCTCTCTCTCTCTCTCTCTCTCTCCTCTCTCTCTCTCCTCTCTCTCTCTCTCTTTCTCTTTCTCTCGAATGACAGGGTCTCACCGTACAGTTTAGGCCGGCCTTGAATCCATGGGAATCATCCTGCCTCAGCCTCCTGAGTGCTGGCATTACAGATGTGTGCCACCACGCCTGGCTTCAAGCAGACCTGCGTTATATCCAAGTAACCTGAAACTCAGAAGTGCCACAGCTGGGAGGTGGGGCTACTGTCACTCCTGGGTGCGGCACAGCCCGATGCCAAGCAACACTCAGCAGGTGCAGCGGGTCAGTGCAGCTTCCTCCCAGGAACCCTGAGGTTCCAGTCATGAGTGTCGCCATGTTGGGGGGGGGCGCCAAGAGCAGCCTCATACAGGAGGGGCTTCAGGGACAGGCTGGGGTGGGACGGGTGCAGGCAACACCCCCAGGGCTCAGTGGCAGTGGGGACATGGGACCGGCTTGCTCCAGCCTGGCAGCCTCTGTGCCCCACACCTGTCCCTGTGAGCAGCCCGCTCTTAACAGGGGCAGGACTGGCCAGGAGAGGTGGTCCACAGCTTAACCTCAGAACTCAGGAGGCTGAGGCAGGAGGATACCACAAGTTTGAGGCCATCATGAAGTACATAAGGAGACCCTGTCTCAAAAACAGAAACAAACAGGGCTGGGGATTTAGCTCAGTGTTTCTGCCACCTGCCTTGCCACCACAAGGTCCCGAGTTTGATCCCTGGTAGCAAAAAACAAACAAAAAATCAAAACAACAACAACAAAAATTGGCAAAACTTGGGACAAGAATCTAAATAAAAGTCCACAAACAGAATTTCTAAAAACGCAAAAACTGTAAATCCAGCAACTCTGATTAATATGGTGTGCCCTGTCTTCTTAGCTCTGTGCTGCCCTCTGGGCCCTCCTCTGGGAACCTCTGAGCCCGCAGTGGGGGCCTGGTGGCTCATCTGCTTGAGAGGAGGGCCCTGGGGACCGACAGGGGCCAGGGTGGGGCAGCTTGTGACACCCTCACCTCCACCAAAGAACGTAAGAACTAAAGGTGAAGAGCTCTTTGGTATGGTATTTGAAAAGTCAAAAGAAATGCAAAAATCCATGGTAGGGGCAGGGATTTAGCTCAGTGGTTTCGCCTACTGCTGCACAAGCGCAAGGACCCGAGTTTGATCCCCGGCACCAAAAAAAAAAAAATCACAAATGTTACCAAAGACAGGACCAGGCCCTCCCTGCCAGGTGTGGCATGGCTCCAGGGCCTGAGCATGGTGTGGACAGGAGCAGTCGGGCTGTGGCCCCTGGGGTGCAGCAGGGGGTGCCCCATAGCTTTGGGAGCCCAGACCAGGCCCAGTTTGAGGTGGCCCAAGGAGGGGCTGGGGCCCAGGGTGCAGACCTTTGTGGCGCAGGTCAAGGGTCATTCATCTTACTCTTTTTTTCTTAAGAGTCAGGGTCTCAGGTGTGACACACACCTGTAATCGAGGAACTGAGGAGGCTGAAGCAGAAGGACTGTGTGAGTTCAGCCTGGGTTACATGGGAAAGAGCTTCTCTCAAAAAACAAAAAAAGAAAGAGAGAGAGAGAGAAAGAACGAAAGAAAGAAGAGCCATTCTATTTTCTAAGCATAATATATTTTATAATTTTTTACAGTTAACCAAGTCTAGGGCCAGGATTTAGCTCAGTGGCACTGTGCCTGCCTCGAAACCCCACGGTCCTGAGTTTGATCCCCGGTACTGCAAAAAAAAAAAAAAAAAGTTAAAAAAGTCTAATTAGCTGGGTGTGGTGGCTCACACCTCTAATTTCAGCACTGGGAGGCTGAGGCAGGAGGATCGCCATGAGTTCCAGGCTATCCTATTCTACATAGAGTTCAAGGCCAGCCTGAACTATGTACTAGCAAGATACTGTCTCAAAATCAATCGATCAATCAATCAAAGGTTAAAGTCTAAACTCATTAAAATGTTTAAATGCTTCCACGCTTGTTCACAACATCCTCCCCACACACTAAAGAACAGCAGGGTGGGGCCCGTGGCGTCTCAGCTCCACACCTGCCCCAAGCTCCACCACCCAGCCAAGTGCGGGGCAGGCAGCTGCGCTGGGAGCAGAGAGAAAGCGGGAGGAGGCAGAGCGGTGGCCCTGGCTCAGGACCTGCGGGCCGGGCCGGGCGGGCAGGCTCAGCGCTGCCTGCCCCAGGAGCCAGGCGAGGTCAGGGGAGGTGCGGCTCCCAGGCGGTTCCAATTCGGAGGGCTGCTTCCCGGCCCCAGGGCGGTCGGGGAAGGGCGTGGCCGCATCTCCGGTCAGGGGCTGAGTCACGGAGCCACCTGTTCTCTGACACCCGCACGCTTTCCACAGAAGCCTTTCCGATGGCTGCGGCCAGGCTGTCCCCACCTCTGCCCGCCCGCCGCCCAGCTGTCCTCGCCGACAGCCGCACCCTCGGCAGCTGCAGGTCCCCACTGGACGCCGGCCCAGGACCCCGCAGTCGACATCGACAGGATGGCTCCTGACCCCGTTCCTTCGCCCACGCCCGGAGGGCGTGCGGCATGGCTGGGTCTCGTCCTGGGCCCAGACACCAGCCCACAGAGTGCGGCGCCCAGCCCAGCTGCTGGACACCGCCCAGGAGGGGCCGGGGGGCGCTGGGGCTGTGAGGAGGCCAGAGGGCGGGAGTGGGAGAGGCCAGCCGGGCAGCGGGATGGAGCCTCGGCCGAGCCCCGCGCAGACCGGGGCCTGGGCGTCGGTCGGGAACAGTGCGGCTTCTCGGTGCCCGCCACCCACCCGGGAGGGCCTGGGCGCGGTGGTCACCTCGTAGGGCCCTCCTGTGACCCTGCTGTCCGGGGTGGGGCTGCCCGTCACCTGGGCCCCGGAGCAGGGGCTGCGGCCTCCTCCTGAGACACAGCTGCTGCCCGCCCTCGCTGCTCCCCAGGACGTTCCAGCCGGGCGTCCTGCGGCTCTTCCGGTCCCACCAGCCGCCTCGGCACCCCACGTTGGCAGGGACCCCTTCCCGCACTGGGACGCTCTGCATTCGGGTTGGCGGCCGTGAGGCGGGGAGCCCCTCTTCTGCCTCGGCCGGAGGCCGGCGGGGGGCAAGTGGCGCCTGCTCAAGGCTGCCGGGGCGGAGCACCCCCCTCACCGGCGGACTTCTTGTTTCAGGGCCAAAACCTTTCGAACCGCAGTGTAAAGCGCTGGCAGCTTAGAACCAACCCGGCCGCAGCCCGTTCTGCCCTCAGCTCCCCACCGCCCAGGGCCAGGGTGCGGGCGGAAGGGCTCCTCTCGGGCCTCGGGGCCCGGACGGATGTGCCCTCCACGCTGGCAGGGCTAGGTGCGCCCCTCTGCAGCGCTGGCCCGGACGAGGGCAGGATAATCGGTGCGGCTGCGCCCTAATGGGCTCCAGCTGCACAAACACCCCGTCCGCCGCGCTGTCTGCGCCCCGCCGGCCTCCCCCAGCCGGGCAGCTGCTCCGGAACCGCGGGCGACTACGGGGGCGGTCCCGCTCCGCAGGACAGACCTGGGGACCCCTCGGCTCCCCCCCGCCCCCCCCCGGGCCCTGCGCTCCCTCCTGTCACCTCCCCCGCACACGCCTGGGATCCAGGGCGGGGCACTTGGAGGATGGGGTACCCCCTCTCACCCCACTCAGCTGCTGCCCGCCTGCCCTCCTCGGAAGGCCCCAGGGGAGCTGAGAAGAGACAGGTGCCCACCCACAATCCCAGTCCTGCAGAGGCTGAGGCAGGAGGGTTGCGAGTGTGAAGCCAGCCTGGACTATGTGGCAAGACCTTGTCTCAAAGAAGAAAGAAAAAAAGGAAAAGGCAAATCATCTCACCCGCAGAGCTCCCAGCCCCAGACACAGGCTGTCACCCTGACACCCTCGGGTGCACGGCAGACCCCGCCCTGCGGAGGGACACAGCCAGAGCAGTCACCCTCCCTGGCACCCCCGGCTTCCTCTGGGCCTGGCCAGTCCCCCAAAGCCTGGCTCTGCCCCACCCCGGGGTGACCACGGTCACCACCCGAACGCACCCGCTCTGGGGCCCGAGCTGGCGGAGGCGGAGAGGCCTGCTCCCTTGCACACTGGAACAAAGGCCTTGGGTGGGGCAGCAGCCCAGGTCCAGGCCGTGCAGGACGTCACCCAGCCAGGCCCTTTGGCTGTGAACAACGGCTGATTTTCGGCCCTGGGTTCCAACAGTGGCCACGGCGGGAGCAGGGGAGCCGACGCTGGGGCCTGGGGACGGGGACCTGAGGTGGGCCTCTGCCTCCCTCCTCCCCCGTGGGCAGAGTCTCTGGAGCCCCAAATACGGGGGCTTCAAACAGCAGCACCTCCTGGGGGCCACCCAAACCCCTCCTGCCACTGTGTCTGCTCCCTGGATGCCCCCACGTGCCCCGAACACGGCCCTGCCCACAGCTACCTGGAGCCTCGGCTCTCCAAGGCCACCACAGGAGGCTGGAAGACGGCAGCAGTCTTGCTCGGCTTCACTCTGTCCCTGCCCACATTGTCACGAGGGTACAAGTGATAAGGGGCCAAAACCTGGGAACGCTGGGAAAGGTGCCAGCAGCCCCACCATGTGAGAGGCAGAGCCAGGGGTGACGAGCTCAGGGCCAGCCTCAAATACGCAAGACAGTAAACTAAACTTAAAGTGAGTGAAGCAGGGCCAATCCCACTGCCGCTCTTCCCCTTGAGGCTGCCATCAGGGCCGTGACTGCAGGGGACAGTCTGGGCTCCGCTGTGGCCTGGTCCTGAATACCCACGGCCCTGGTTGGAGGCTGGCTCACTGGCGGGCCCTGTGGAGAGGGTGGCACCTTCACGTGGAGTCCCCAGGATCACAAAGGGTGTCCGGAGCCAGGACAGCGGGCACTCCAGAGCCCCCAGGAGGACGGGGGAGCCTGGCCTGTGCCTCACTGGCCAGTGTGGACACCTGAGAGCCACTGAGCCATCCTGGAGAGGGAGGAGTGCAGCAGGGCCAGGCTGGGGGGTCGGTACAGAGCACAGGCGGGCGGTGCCCCTGGCTCTGCAGAGCAGCAGCTGGGCAGGGAGAGGATCCACAGGGGCTGAAACACCAGGAAGCGGCACTGGTGGGGCCCGGGCAGGTGCCGACCCCACCCTCCGCCGGTTTTCCCATTTCACAGGACAAGAGGAGCCGGCTATGGGGGCCCACGCCTGTCCGTTTAGCACTCTGGGAGGCTGACGCAGGAGAACCTCAAGTGTGAGCTCAGCCCAGGCAACTTAGCAGCTTAGTGACTTAGTGAGCCGCCTCCTCACGTGCACCTGTGCACTTCCATCCCTCCCAAGAGAAGCCATCACTTGACACAACTGCAGGAGGCAGGAGAGACCAGAGCACGGATTCTGGGTCAGGCCCTGGACCTGGGGGCTGCGGGCGCCCGGAGGGGAGGAGGTGCTGATCTAGGAGCTATGCCCATTACCCATAGGCTGAAGCCTCTTTTTTCCCCAGCACTGGGGATTGAACCCAGGCCTTTGCACTGAGCTGCATCCCAGACCTTTTTCTTTTTTTTTTAATTTTTGAGACAAGGTCTTGCTAAACCACTAAATTTCCCAGACCATGTTGAACTTGTGAGCCTCCTGCCTCAGCCTCCCAGGTGCTGGATCACAGGTGTGCGCCACCGCGCCTGGCTCTGAATAGCTTTTTAATCTCTGCTGTTCTGCAGTCTAAGGGGGCTGCTGAAGGCGTAGCTCAGCGGTGAGCTCCTCCCTAGCAGGTTCCATCCCCAGCACACACACACACACACACACACACACACACACACACGCACGCACACACACACACACAGGGCTGGGCATGGCGGCGCACACCTACAATCCCAGCACTTGGGAGGCAGAGGCAGGAAGATCGCCTGAGCTACAGAGCGAGTTCAAGGCCAGCCAGGCTACATGGCGAGACCCTTTGGAGTTAGTGACCACCTCAAGAACTGTTACCTTGGGAAAACTGACTGCTGTTTTCAAAGCCATCTTCCAAGGAACAGTTAGGGTTTGTCAGGCACCTGGAACGATGCCAGCCCAGTGCAGGGTACACACCTAGAATCTCAGCTACTTGGGAGGCTGAGGCGGGAAGACCTTGAGTTCAAAGCTAGCCTGTGCGACACAGGGAACCCTGTCTCAAAGAAAAAAAGAATGCACAAATAAAAAAGCACGAGCTGCATGAAATTAATAAGTACAGTTACCACTCAGGTCAGTGATCTAGCCCTGCATAAGGGGATTGCAGCTTACCTGGGTCATTTCCTTGAATCTCACAGTGCCCCGGGCCAGGGCTTCGGGCCTGGCTGTCGGGGGAGTCTTTACTCAGTGAGACCGGCCATGGCGTGGGCATGGCGGGCAATCTGGGCTTGGGTCTCAAAGGCCCTGATGGCCCGGGGCCTGGGGAGCCTGGAGAGCGGGGGTCAGCAGGGATCAGGACGGCCCCCGGGGTGTCTTCTGGGATTAAGACGATGCTCCACTTCCCCCGGAGCTCTGCGTGGTCACAGGCACTCACACCCACAGGGGTGTACCACACATGCCGGTGCAGTTGCCTGGGGCAGGCTGTGCACCCGGCCTCTCGGGTAACAGGTGTCCTGTCTGGGCTCCTCCTGTGAACCCGCCGGCAGGGATGTGGCACCGCGTCTGTTACCACAGGGAGAGACACACGGGGACACCTGTGGCCCGAGAGAGGACGCCGGGCCGTGTGTGGGCCCGCGTGGGGATGCTCCTCATGGGCTGCTGGGGTCTTTCCTTTTCTTCTCACTTTGCCGAGCTGGATCAAGGGCTGGGCCTCCTGAGCACCAGGCTCTGCCTGGAGCCGCACCCCGCCGGGCTGGGCGGGAGACCGGCCGAGGGAAACCTGAGCTTGAGCCCCTGCCCACTACTCCCTGAGCCGTGGGCTGTCCCCAGCCCTGGCACACAGGGCTCCTCTGAGCCCCAGCTGCCCCAGCAAGTGGACTGGAGGACAACGTGGCAGAACTGCCACACGCCCACACCTTGTGTGAGCATTGGCCAGGTCCTTTCCCCGCTGTCCACCCATGGTTCCTGCTGTCCCCACCGCCCCGAGTGTGTCACACCTGAAGGAGACAGAGAAGAGCGAGCCCCTCCCTCCTATCCAGGTCCAGGCTGGAAGAGGACAGAGCTTCCTGGGGCTGTGGCCGGCCAGTACCCCCTTGTTCAGGCAGGGCTGGTGATCGGCCGGGTTAATTACGCCTGGGCTGTTTCCCACTGGCACCGGCATGCCCACCCACAGAGCTGCAGGCCGGGGCCCTGGAGGATCCTGACCCTGCCCTGGTGGAAGGAAGCCCACCATCCTCTCCTCACTCTGTCCGGTCCTGCTTGTACTTTACCAGCACTGTCCCCTCACAAGCCCCTCCCTCCTGCTCCACCAGGTTGGGGTCACATCCAGTCACCCCCACGGACCCTCTGAAGGGCTGATTACAAGGCCGGGCTGCAGCCTTCGAGAGCTCTGCTTCCAACAAGAACTGGCTGCTCCCTGGGCCCCCTGGGAAGCAGGCCAGGGTCACCATGCCGGAGTCCTGTCTTGTCTCTGGTCACTTTCTCCAGAGCTCTTCCGGCTCTGGGCTGTGAGCCCGCAGGGGACAGGAGACAGGAGGGCAGGGGTGGAGCAAGGTAGCCAGCTGTGACAGCCCGAGCCCTCATGAGTGGCTTCAGAGCCCAGGACCGGCGGCTGCGTGTGCCCTGCTCACCCAGGCAAGGGTCATTTCTGTCCTAATCAGAGGAGGCTGAGGGGCACAAACCCCCGCCAAGGGGCTCTGGGCTGGCACCCGGAGCAGGGGGAGAGCTTGGAGCACAGGGAACAGCAGTCTGACAGGGGCCAGCCCCGGGACAGGGACGGGGCAGCCTTTGACCTGGCTCCTCTGGGATTCACCAAGAGGCTGGAGGAGCTGACAGCTCCGGGGACTGCTCCAGGGTCTGTGCAGCCCCAGCCCCGGGCTCAGGATGGTCTCGCCTGGCCTTCGGGGGCCAGGGCAGCCTTCCCAGCGAGGACCCAGGCTGGGTCCCCCCAGCCCAGGCTGCTGTCCACCTGTCCTCCCGCCTTCCCCGATAGTGCGCTTTGCCCAGTGTCACCTGCAGGCTGATGCCTTCTCTTCCAAGTCCCTAGTGGAGAGGAGGAGACAGCTTGGAAGCCTGAGACTGGGACGGGCTGGAAAGCAGCTGCAGTGGGACAGGGCGAGGATGGGGTGTCCAGCAGCCTCCTACACTCGTGCAAGATTGTGTATTCACAGGGAGCTGGGCATGGTGGTGCACGTCTGTACTCCCAGCATTTGAGAGGCTGAGGCAGGAGGATCTCTGTGAGTTCAAGGCCAGCCTGGACTACAGAGCGAGCCTCTGTCTCAAAAATCTAAAGTGTGTTCACACAGGTCTGGCTATTTTTTTCCAGGAGGAGAGCCACAGATTTTTCAGATTCTTGGAGTCACTCCAGGGCCTCATACATACTGGACAAGTGCTGAACCATCGAGCTCATCCCAGGCCCCAGAGTTTAACATTCATTTACAGGTGAGGAAGGTGATGTGGATGAGGGACACCCACCACAGCCAGTGGCAAGAGGGAGGCACAGCGGGGCACACCTGTGCTCCCAGCACAGTTCCAGCCCAGCCTGGGCAATGTAGCAATTTGACAAGACTCTGTCTCAATTTTTTGCTTTTTTTTTCGGAACTGAGGATCAAACTCAGGACCTTGCACTTTCGAGGCAGGCGGTGGCAACACTGAGCTAAATCCCCGGCCCAATTTTTTGCCTTTTGAGACAGGGTCTTGCTTCATAGTTCAGGCTGGCCTCAAACTCATGGCGATCCTTCTGCCTCAGCCTCCCAAGTGCTAGGATTACAGACGTGTACCACCATGCCTGGCTCTGTCTCAAAATTTAAAAAATAAATACAAAGAGCTGAGGATTCAACTCAGGGCAAAGGTCCTGGGTTCAATCCCCAGTTCCACAAAAGAAAAAAAAAAATGTAGGGGCGACAGTTCTCCGAAATGGAAGGAGTGGACTTGGGTACCAGGGCAGTGCCTCCAGCGATCTAGGCAGGTCTGGGAGCAGGGGACAGAGGCCCTCAGTCTCCAGGACACAGAAGAATTTCCTCTAGGAGAACCTCGAAGCTCCGAACGCTGCTCCCAAGGAGCCCCTGGCGTTTGGAGAGGCCCGTGGCGCAGGGCGCAGGGTCTGGGCGGGAAGGGGGGCTCGACTGAGCAGGAAACGGGAGAGGAGAGGCCTGCAAAACCAGCAGCACCCAGGCTCCGGGACGCCGCCGGCCTGGGCTCGGGAACGACCCTCTCTGCGCTTGGCTGCAAACCCAGAGCCGAAGCTGCCGCGCCTAAGAGCCCTCCGCCTGGGCTGGGGGTTGGTTTGCTTGTACTGAGCCCTGAAGCCGGGGTGCTGTGACTGAGAAGTCTCACAAGTTTCGGGGACTCAAGCTCGCCATCCTCCCGCCTCCGGCTCCCTCAGGGCTGGGATTACAGGCGTCGCCGCCCGGTCCTGCCAGGCCCTATCTTTGACTGGGCTGCGCAGAGGCAGCCTGGGGCTGGGCGGTCACCTGGGGTCCCTCCACCCCGGCCCTCCCCAGGCTGGTCTGAAGCTGCCCTTCTCCAGTTGTTCACTAAGGATCTGGAAGTGGGGTGGGCGGCACCCCACTTCCCTGGCAATCCCCCCGGAGGGAGCCACCTGTGAGATCTGCGCCTCTAAAACACGGCTGTCAACTCCGAACCTTCGCCGGGCAGGCACGGGGAGGGCAGGCACGGGGAGGGTCCCGTCCCACCCCACCCCCAGCGCCAGGGGACGGGGAGCTTGCAGCTGCCCTCCCACTCGGCGTTGCCCATCCTCCCGCGTACCCGGTGCCCGCCCGCCCACGGCGGGGCGCTGTCCACGGGCTCGTCTCACCAGCGCGCCTCAGAGGTGGGGCCGGCCCCCTTCTTCCCACTAGGCCTGGCGCCGAGCCCCAGGCTTTCCAGGCCGAACACTTGCGAGGGGTGCGGCTCGCGCTCAGCAACTTAACCCTCCTGCGCCCTGCGGGTCCTTGCAGCGCACAGCCCAGGGACGGCGCCAGGACCCCGCCGGCGCTGCCACGGCTGAGGGGCCCTCGGAGGCGGAGACGCGCGCGCTCATTGCCGACACAGGGGGCTTTAACCCGCCCGGCTCCGGCTCGGGCCCGCAAGGGGCAGAGCGGACCCCCGCGCCGCCGTGCACCGTCCTGGGTGGCCTCGGCGCACTCTCCCGTCCCAGGCCAGCCAACAAAGGCAGACGAGACACCTTCCCCGTCGCATTTCAGCGAAACGGCGAGAGCCGGGGCTGGAAGCCCACTTCCGCCCCACCCCCACCCCCACCCCCGGCGCGGGAGCGGGGCGCGGTTTGGAAAAGCTAATAAAAAGTTACAGCCTGTTAAATGCAATTAAAGGGCTAGACCTCGGGAAGATAATTAAATGCAGTTTATTATAATTATTAGCTTCTAATTTGCACGATTATCAAGGAATAGGAGATTGGAAAACTGAGTTACTGGCACAGTTGTCTTCAGACTGATCCTTTGGAATTAGACTTCTAAAATATTCCAAATAGTTGAGGGAACGGATGTGTTGGAAGCCAGCAGACACTTTATACACCGCTTCGCAGGCAGCTCGCGGGGAAAGTCTTGGGTCTCATTCGTGGGGGAGGGGAAGATAAGAAACATCTGTTCCGCGAATCCCCCCAGACGCGGGCACCGGTGGTAAACACCGCCCACCCCACGGCCTCCCGGGGCCCCCAGCCTTCTCCCAGCCAGGCACCCACTTTTTTTTTCTATCCTTTGGACAAGTTTTAAAAGAAACCAGTCTTTTGTTAAGACTGAAAATCCCACCAGCCCATCAGTACTTCCCTCCACCCCAACCCATTTTTTATTGCTTTTTTTGGAGGAAAAAACAAAGGCCCCAAACAGCAATAAAAATCCACTTATAACACACAAACCAGCCCCCAAAGGCCACCCTGAACAAGGGAGGGCTTTCAGTCGACTGGGGGAAGTGGGGAGACTTCAGGGAGACATCGGATTGCAGGGAACGAGGGGAGAGACGCAGGGCCTCAAAACTCCTGAATTCCCACCAAGTCCGAAGGCTGAGGGTCCAGACAGGACCAAAGTGGGGTGTGTGTGGAGTGATCCGGCAGGAGCTGAGGGAGGAGAGGCGCAGACTTTAAAGCTGCAGAGGAGGGCACCGGGCCGCTGCTCCCTTCCGCGGTCCGCTGTCCGCCCGCCCCCGCCTCAGGTTTGATTTATTCTTTTTCTTCCCTTCCCTTAGGTTTCCAAGTACCGCGGACCCAGGGCACATGAGCTGGGATGGAAGGGCAGAAAGGGAACTCAAAATGAATCCAGGTCTAGGCCCCAAACATCCCGCAGCTCCGAAGCCCCAGCGCGGGCAGGGGCCGCAGAACCGGCTCTGGTGTCCCCGGGTCTCCCAGCTACCCCTGGCCCAGCCCGGGGCCCTCAGGTCTCAGCCTCGGCACCCCACCCAGTCTTCAGCCGGGAGCTCTCCTGCTCTTTTTTTTCTTCTTTTTTCTTTTAAATAGAAAATATATAATTACATTTGCAAAGACTATTTACAGTTCCAATTACAGACCTGGCAGGGGCAAGGCCGGCTTCGGGTTGGGGCCCGCCGGCGCCCACGCTCTCACACGGTGGTCTCTCCACGCCGGCCCCGCGCCAGACGCGCGTAGAACTTGCGCCATGAGTGCAGCGTCTTGCCAGACCAGATCCAGAAGCCCGACGTGATGCCCACGATGAGGGTCATGAGGTACTTGATCATGTAGACCGTGAAGTCGGGCGCGGCGCGCGGCGCGTGGGGCGCGGGGCACGGGATGGCCAGGCTGCGGCAGTGCTGGCTGACCCAGGAGCGCTCCCAGCGCTCACGGAAGGCCTGCTCATAGAAGTAGCAGGCCAGCACGATGGTGGCCGGCACCGTGTAGAGCACGGAGAAGACGCCGATGCGCACCATGAGGCGCTCCAGCTTCTCGGTCTTCGTACCGTCATGCTTCATGACGGTGCGGATGCGGAAAAGAGACACGAAGCCCGCCAGCAGGAAGGACGTGCCCACGAACAGGTACACGAAGAGCGGCGCCAGCACGAAGCCACGCAGGGGGTCCAGGCTGTGCAGCCCCACGAAACACACGCCGCTCAACACGTCGCCGTCCACCTGGCCCAGCGCCAGGATGGCCACGGTCTTGACGGCGGGCACGGCCCAGGCCGCCAGGTGGAAGTACTGCGAGTTGGCCTCGATGGCCTCGTGGCCCCACTTCATGCCGGCCGCCAGGAACCAGGTGAGCGACAGGATGACCCACCATATGGAGCTGGCCATGCTGAAGAAGTAGAGCACCATGAAGAGCAGCGTGCAGCCCTCCTTCTTGGTGCCCTGCACCACCGTGCGATAGCCGTCGTCCGAGAAGCGCTCGTTGCACACGGCGCGCTCCTGCAGCAGGAAGCCCGCGATGTAGGCCACGGACACCATGGTGTAGCAGCCGGACAGAAACACAATGGGGCGCTCAGGGTAGCGGAAGCGCTGCATGTCCACAAGGTAGGTGGTGACAGTGAAAAAGGTGGAGACACAGCACAGCACGGACCAAGTGAGGATCCAGAGGCGCGCAAACCGCGTCTCCTCCTGCGAGAAGAACAGCGCGCCGTCGGGGCGCGCCGGCTCACAGGGCGCGGCGCAGTCGCGCTCGCCCAGGAAGCGGTAGCTCAGGTAGGCGGGCACGCGCAGCACGCGCGGGCAGCGGAACGGGGGCGCGGGCGGCGAGGCGGGGCGAGGCGCGGGCGAGGCGGGCGCGGTGCCAGGCGCGGGCCCGGGCGGCGCGGTACCCGGCGCGCTGTCCTCCGAGCGGTTCTGCCCCACGCACAGTTGCTCGGCGCCGTGGCGCGGGAAGAGCTCGCAGCGTAGGCGCTCGGGCCACTGGAAGCCGAACTTGTTCATGAGCGCCTCGCAGCCCTGGCGCGCGCGCTCGCAGATGGCGCGGCACGGCGGGATGGCCTGCTCCAGCACGGTGCACACGGGCGCGTACATGGCGCACAGGAAGAAGCGCAGCTCGGGAGAGCACTGCACCTTCACTAGCGGGTAGAACTGGTGCACCTCCAGCCCCGCGTCCTCTTGGCTCGTGTGGCCCAGCAGGTTGGGGAGGATGGTCTGGTTGTAGGCGATGTCGGTGCACAGCGGGATGGAGATGGGCTGGCAGAAGCCGTGCTCCGGCACCGACAGGCCTCGCTCGGCGCGCGCGCGCAGCACCAGCAGCGGCGGGAGCAGCAGCGCCAGCAGCAGGCGGGGCGGAGCGCGGCGGGGCCGCATGCTGCCCAGGAGCGCGGGACGGCCCGGCCCGGCCCGGCCCCCTCGGGCCCGCGCGAACTCGGCCCGTGCCCGCCGAGTCAGGGCTCTGCTCCTCCGGCTCCTCCAGCGGACGTCTTTGTGCCTCCAGCAGTCTCACCTTGGCCTCTCCGATCCCAATTAGTCGGTTTCAAGGAGGCCCCCGCCGGCGGCCCCGCCTACCCCCTCCCCCCAAAGGGATCCTTGAAACCTCCCCGTCGAGCGCTCAGCGCCGGCCCCAATGTGCGCCGGCCCAATCAGATTCAAAATAGGGCCCCGCCCCGGGCTCTGATTGGTCGCTGGCCGTAATGAGACCCGAAACCGAATGCCCAGGACCACTCCCCCCCCCGCTTTTAAAGAGACAGGCAGTGGGTGGGGGGGCTCCGCCAGGGCCCCAGAGACCCTGTCCCCGAACTCAGACGCCGGCCCCCAAGCCACCTGGAGGACGCTGCCCTGTCCCTGTTGCTCCAGATGCCCCCTTCCCGTTCGAGGTTGCAAATCAAAAACTTCGAATTAAAACTTTTTTACTTAAAAAAAAAAAAGAACTAGCAACTTACAGACTTTTGTCTCTGCCCCTTCTGGCGGAGCCTGGGCCGACGTGCTGCCTAACCCCGCGCTCAGGCCCTGGGGCTCGCCTGGCCCCTCCCCCTGCTCGCACCCTTCCACGACCCTCTGAAAATGGAAGCCTGTCTCTTTAAGAGGCTCTTAAAGGGGCCCGGAGACCGGGGCATAATTGCCCTGCAGGAGCACAAAGGAGCCCATTATGGTTCTCGGTGGCAGTGGCCCTTCCGAGTGACAGACTCGGGAACTCGGGTGGGGGGCAGGGGACAGCAGCCGCGCGCCCACACCCCCAGTCCAGAATGTGCAGCGGAGCTGGGGAGTTGTGATCGGAAGTTAATGGGGTCGGGGTGGGTCGCGGGCCTGAGGATACGAGCTCTGCAGTGCCGCCCTCCGCCTCCTGAGAGCTTCCAGACTGGGCCTCGCGAGAGGGGGTGCCCGAGCCTGGGCCCCCGAAAGTGGTGGGGCGGGGCTGCCGCGCGCGCGCGGGGGGGGGCGCCCCCGCCAAGTTCTCGAGGGTCGGAGCGGGGGCTCGCGTGCAAATCTCCCTGCCGGGGTGAGGGGTGAGTGTGCTGTGGGCCCCAGGGAAAGGGGCTGGAAGGAAGAAAGAAAACGGGCTGACTGCTGCCCTGATCCGGGAAAGGGTCGCTTTTCAAACCAAGAAGTTTAAAAGAAAGAAGAAAAGGAAACTATATAGAGAGGGATGGAGGGGACGGGCCTGGGTTGAGATTCAAAAAGTGATGGAGTGAAGGACAGAAAGGTTTTCAGATTCTCTGCAACCTGAAAGCCGCCCTTTTGTATCCTGGGGAAGTCGCCTTTCCCCCTCCGGGAGGAGTTTTCCTTCAGAATCAAGGGGACAGGCCACCTTGCTGTGGGTCCCAAGGGCCGCCCACTCGCCTGTCGTGCTCTGCTGGGCCTCACCTCAGGGCGCCCCACTCATCTCCCAGGCAAACATTGCATCTTCTGCTTCCTTCCCACAGCCCGAGGCCAGGCCTGAGTGACAGTTGTCCCTTCCCTGGCCAACCTGAGGCAGAGGGGAAGTTGGGGCTGGAAGACACCAGCAAGGACCTCCTTGGGGTCACTCAGTCAAGCTCTTACTCTGTTCAGCACACTTCCCTCTCACAGCCTGGGGGTTCTAATGCTGGGGAATGAAGCCCAGGGTCCCTCTCAGCCTGGACGGCAGCTGGACCCCAGCCTTGACCCCAAGACCCTTCAGCACACTTCTGCTGAGACTTCTGCTTTCTGGCCACCATTGTAGGGGCTCCAGAGGATGTGGAAGAAAATGCCAGTGTCCTTGCCTTTCAGGAGTTGACAGCAGGGATACCAGGGGTGCCAACCCACTCCTCTCATCCCAGCACTCAGGGAGGCTGAGGCAGACAACTTAGCGATTTAGGGAGACCCTGTCTCAGAAGTTACAAACGGGCTGGAAGCATGGCTCAGTGGTAGATGTGGCCTGTCACACAGGAGGCCCTGCTTCTATGCCTGTCCCGTCGAAAAACAAGAGACACGGGAGGGCAGGGGGCAGGGGTGGCTGCTCACCTGGGCCTCTAGTTTCAATCCTCAGCCCTGAACAAAAGAAACATTTAAATTTAAAAAGTTGTAGCCCCCCAGAGCTCCACAGAGATCTTATACTTGCGAAGCGTTTTAGGTGACACAAGAAGTCAGTGTGTCATGGCCACTCCTGTCTTCCCTGTGAGCAGCTAGCATGTGCACAGGGCCAGGACACTGTCTTCAGATGAGTCAGGCTGGGACTGAACCCAGGGCCCCTGCACTGACAACAGCCCCAGCCTTTCTTATTTTCTGGTTTTAGACACGGTCTTGCTACATTGCCCAGGCTGGGCTTGAATTTGGGACCCTCCTTCATCAGCCTCCCAGAGTGCTGGAACTACAGGCCTACCACCACACGTGCTCAACCAGCCTTCTTGATGGCATACAGGAAGCCTGAAACAAAAGGTTGTCACTTGTCATTTGATAGATGTAGCCCTTCGCTTTGAGTTTTTAGAAACATTAGATTGGTCATTAACTTACACAGGACCCTAATTCTGCCTGTGGATACACGGCCGGAGCAGCTGGTCTGCTTCTTGAAAGTTCAGTTTCCCCTTCCTACGGTGGGACCAAAACTAAGGCTTTTCAGCTGGGGACGTGGTCAGTGACAGAGCACACAGCCTCTGTTCAATCTCCAAAAAGACCTCCAAAAAAACAGATTTTTAAAAAATGTGAGACATTGGGCCGGGGATTTAGCTCAGTGGTGCTGCTGCCTGCCCTGCAAGTGCAAGGACCCGAGTTTTTACCCCCTAAAAAAAGTGAGACATGTCTAAAATAATTTCAGAATGACAAAATAAATTTCTTAATCATAAAGCACCAAGATAAAAAGTTACGTGAGTTAGGGGCCACGAATTTAGCTCAGTGGTTCCGCCACCTACTTCACAAGCCCAAGGTCCCGAGTTTGATCCCCGGTACCAAAAAAAAAAAAAAGTTATGTGAGTTAAATTTCATTCATCCTTGAAGACCAGGGAAATCACGACCATTTATTGAGCCCCCATGAATCACTGCCTGTGCACGCACAGGGCAGGCGCTGGTTTTGTCCATGAAAACTCTACCTCAAGGTCATGTAACGAACAGGTGACAGCGAAGTCAAACACTGCCCAGCTCTCTGCTTGGCTTTTAGGCCTGGGCCCTGTCTCCAGCACACAGCCCTGATGTCTATAAGAATTGTGTGTACTGCAGAACGAGGAAGAGAAGGAGGGAACTGGGCCCCTGAGACCCAGGAAGGATCTGAAGGGAGAATTGAAGTCCACAGGGACAGTGAAGAGAGAGACTTTAGCAAAGAGGAAGGAGGTAGCAAGCAGCCCTTTCTTCCAGAACTGACTTCCGGACTGAGAACAGCAGGTCGGGTAGAACCTGCAGACTCGCAGTGAGTACTGGTGATGCCAGATCTAGGCCTCTATCAAGAAAGTGGAACAGAGCAGCTGATGCAGCAGACTGCAGCGGCTGGTGAGTTATGCGGGTTCAGGCCTCACCCAGGAGAGGGCGATTGGCTGGTAGCCATCTTGGAGAGGGGCCAACTGAGCTCAGAACTCAGAGCAGTTACAGGCCAACTCCATCTAGTGGCTCCCAGGGTCTTGGGTGCAGGTGCCAAGTTCAAATCAGCAGGAGGTCAGGGAGCTGAGTTCAAGTCATCAGGGAGTTGAGTTCAAGTTGGCAGGAGGCACATGGATGGTTGCAAGCTCAAAAAATCCGATTCCAGCCTCATAGCCAGAAACCAGCCTGAACTTCAGTGGAACTAAAGGTGGAGACTGGCTGGGATTATCCACTACTCCACCATAAAGATACTCCTGGCTTGCTGGGATTAATCAACTTGGATCTAGACTCTGTCTACCCATGTTGTCTACCAGTGACAACAGAGATATGCTTTGAATTGGACTTTTTTTCTTTTAGTACTGGGCATTGAACTCAGGACCTTGCATTTTCAAGGCAGGCAGCGGAACCACTGAGCTAAATCCCCGGCCCTTCCTTTTCTTTTTTCCTCTTTCCTGGTTCTTGTTCTTGTTTTGATTTTTCTTTGTTTGAACTTTTTTTTTGAGACAGGATCACGCTATGTAACCCAGGTTGGTTTTGAACTCACTATGTAGTCCAGGCTGGCCTTGAACTCATGGTGATCCTCCTGCCTCAGCCTCCTGTGTGCTGGAACTAGAGGTGTGTGCCAGCCACCACACCTGGCCTTGAACACAGTTTCTAGGGGTTTTTGTTTTTGTTGCTCTCTTCTGTTCTTGTTTTCATTTCTTCCTTTCTCTTTCTTTCCTATCTTCACCAGTTTCCCAGAGTTTGTATGATCTTCATTTGTCCTCCAGCCTTGCTTCTAATCTCTTACTCTTCTTATATATCTCTATTCCCCCAACCCCTTTTAAATCATCTCCCCTAAGGGTAAAATTGCTATACTAAGGGCTTATTTATCGCATGCAATTTTCTGGTTCATTTTAGATTTTGTTATATAACCACAAATCTAGTTCATACAGTTAAATGTGGCAAATTAATAGTTACCACAGTTTGTCATTTTCTAGGCTGTATTTGATCCTATTATTATTACTCATTGTACTAGTTTAGCCAAGGTGATATAACTGTGCTAATCAGTTGTCCTTCCTGTTATACCAAGACTGAGATTGCCTAAGGGTCTTTTAAGAAAAAAACGAGGGCTGAGGATTTAGCTCAGTGTCACCGTGCCTGCCTCACATGCACAAGGTCATGAGTTCGATCCCTGGTACCAAACAAACTATAGGTCAGTGCCAAAGAACTGGTGGCTGGGCCAATTAGGCAGAAACTTTTCATCCCTAATAAATTGAAGAGGTAGGATCCTGCAACAGACTCAAAGCCCAAAAGCCAGCTACACCTGGAAAACACATCTGAAAAGTAGTCATTTCCTAAGGGTTCTGAATACTGGCACTAAAGCCACTTGCCATGAGCAGTTTATAAGCATCAACTCAGGAATTAAACTTAAAAAAAAAAAGAAAATGAGCCAACACTTAAACAAGATGCAACCCTGCCAGACTTTAGCTCATCAAAGACATACCCAGGGGACAATGAGGTGGAACAATCCAAAAGCCACCCACCTGGACTCTCTGAAGTGGTAACAATGGAAGTAACAAAGCAGATGAGGAGGCTTTAGAAAAAAATCAAAGAAGAAATAATTTCTCAGATAACTACAGAGATGTGGACCAAAATGAAAGACATGGTTAGTGGCTCTAGAGCAGATACAGATTTTAAAAACAGAGGAGCTCAGAAAAATGATGGAAATATGGACACCCATCATAGGAAACAAATAGAATCCATGAAACAGATTCAAACAGATGCCCAGGAGCTTAAAAACTCCATTGAAAGTGTACAAAGTAGAATGAGCCAATGTGAGGACAGAATATCAGAGAAGACAAGATTCGGTTAACAATCATGAAAAGAGAGATTTCTTAAAAATAGCAAGGGACCATGAGAAATCAATCCAGCAGCTGCTACATGATGCAAAGAATAACATAAGATTGACTGGAGTCAATGAAAAAGCAGAAGATAGCACAAATGACATAAAAAACCTGTTCACAGAAGTAATGGCCGAAAATTTCCTGAACAGAGAAAAAGAATTTGACATACACATAAGTGAGGCATATAGGACTCCAATTAGTCTTGATAAAAAATTATCTTCCCCAAGGCATATAATAGTCAAGATTCCAGAAATTCAACACAAGAAGAGAATATTACAAGCTATTGGAGAAAAGAAATAAATCACCTATAGAGGAAAGCCTATCATAATCACAGCAGGCTTCTCAATACAAACCCTCAAGTTAAGGAGAGATTGGAGTGACATATTTCAAGCCCTAAAAGACAACAGCCTCCAATCTAGATTGATGTGCCCTGCAAAACTATCTTTCAAAATTGATGGAGAAATAAAATGCTTCCATGAAAAAGCACCTGAAGAAATCCATGACCACCAAAGCAGCTCTCTAAAGTGTTCTTCAGGATGTTCTAGAAAGAGACAACAAGTACTACAACTGCATGGACCCCAACAGCACAGAAGAAGAAAGAAAGAAGCCAACAGCAGGAAAATAACATGACAGGGACAAGTCAATACGTGTCAGTTATAACCATCAACATAAATGGCCTTAATTCACCAATCAAAAGAAACAAACTGGCAGGAGCAAGATCCAACAATATGCTGCACACAAGAAACACACTTAATTCAAAAAGAAATTCATTGACTGAAAGTCAACAGATGGCAAACAATACTCTATGCAACAGGAAACAGGAAAAAAACAAGAGCATTCTATTTGCAAACAAAGTGGATTTCAAACCAAGACTGATTAAGAGAGACAAAGAAGGTAACTGCATCCTTGTAAAGGGAACAATCCAAGAGGAAGAGATAACAATCAAATATATATGCACCAAATACTAGTGCACCCAACTATATAAAACAAATATTACAGACAAAAAAAATCAAATAAGTACTAATACAATTGTAATAGGGGACCTCAATACCCCAGGGTCACAAACAGACAGATCATCTAGACAAAAAATCAACAATGTAATATCAGAACTGAACCAAACTTTTGAACAAATAGACTTAGGAGATGTCTACAGAGTGTTCCACCTCACAACATCAGAATACACATTCTTCTCAGGTGCACATGGGACTTTCTCCAAAATAGACCACATACTAACTCATAGAATATGTTTGTGTAAGTGCAAAGGAATTGAAATTGCCGCATGCATATTATCAGACCATAGTGCAGTGAAATTGGAAATCAATTCAAAAGAAACCACAAGAGGGCCGGGGATTTAGCTCAGTGGTTCCAGCGCCTGTCTTGCAAGTGCAAGGCCCCGAGTTCCATCCCTGGTACCCACCCCCCCCAAAAAAGCAAAAGAAACCACAAGAACTTCATAAACACATGGAAATTAACACCCTCCTGAACAACCAATGAGGCAAAGATGAGATTAAAGAAGAAATCAGACAGTTTCTGTAATTAAATGATAATGCCAGTACAACATACTGGAGCTTGTGGGACACAATGAAAGCAGTGCTCCACAGGAAATTAATAGTGGTGAATTCCCAGAGCGGGCTCGAATTAACAACCTAGTGTTGAACTTTAAGCTGCTAGAAAGAGAAGAGCAAATTAAGCTCTAAGTTTGTATGAGGTAGGAAATTATAAAAATCAGAGCAGAAATTAATGCAGTGGAGATGAAAAAACCAATACAAAGAATCAATAAGGGCTGGGGATTTAGCTCAATGGTGCCGCCACCTGCCTTGAAAGCTCAAGGTCCTGAATTCAATCCCTGGTACCAAAAAAAAAAACAAAACAAAAAGAATCAATGAATCGAAGAGTTGATTCTTTGGAAGATTATATAAAATTGACAACCCCCTAGCCAACCTTATCAAAAAAAGGAAAGAAAAGACTCAAATCCATGCAATTAGGAATGAAAAGGGAGAAATCACAACAGACTCTGCAGTGGTCCAGAAGATCATCAACACCTACTTCCAGAACCTGTACTCTAATAAGACGGAAAACACAGGAGAAATGGACAGATTCCTGGATACATATGAATTGCCAAAGCTGATTCAAGAAGATATAAGAATTTGAAATAAACCACTATCAGCTAATGAAATTGAAAACAACCAACAAGGAAGGCCTAGCCCTTGATGGATTCACTGTTGAATTCTACAAGAAATTTAAAGAAGACCTAATGCCACTACTTCTCAAACTCTTTAATGAAATTGAAAGGGAAGCAATATTCCAAAAGTCATTCCTGGAAGCAAGCATTACTCTGATACCAAAACCAGAGAAGGATCCAACCAAAAAAGAGAACTACAGACCAATCTCCTTAATGAACATAGATGCAAAAATCCTCAATAAGATGCTAGCAAAGAGAGTGCATCAAGAATACACCACAAGGGCCGGGGATTTAGCTCAGTGGTTTCACCACCTGCCTTACAAGCGCAAGGACCAGAGTTCAATCCCCTGTACCAAAAAAAAAAAAAAAGAATACACCACAATATGGCCAGGGATTTAGCTCAGTGGTGCCACCACCTCCCTCGCAAGCTCAAGGTCCTGAGTTGGATCCCCAGTACCAAAAAAACCCACCCATTTTTATAGCAGCACCATTTGTAATAGTTAAATCTTGGAAACACCCCAAATGCTCATCAACCAATGAATGGATAAAGAAGATTTTTTTTATACAATGGAGTACTACTCTGCCATAAAGAAGGCTAAGCTCCAGACATTTATAGCTAAATCGATGGACTTCGAGACCATACTCTTAAGTGAAATAAATGGGACCCACATGTTTAAATATTGCATTGTTTCTCGGGTGTGAGAAACCAAATGTAGAAATAAGGACTGAGATGTAGAATGGATGTTGGGAAATGGAAGAAAGTGTTCAAATGGGAAGGGGAACAAGGGAGGAGGGAGAAAGAAAGGAAGCAACAAGAAAAAATTAAAAATAGAAGGAAGAGGGGCCAGGGATTTAGCTCAGTGGTTTTACCGCCTGCTGCGCAAGCGCAAGGACCCGAGTTCGATCCCTGGTACCAAAAAAAAAAAAAATAGAAGGAAAAAATGGAAACAAAGCTTTTGCTAGGGGTTTGAGGGGAGGGGGATGGGAGAAAAGAAGAGGTGGGATGTATACAGGTGCTAATTCCTTATGATGAGTGTTGTCATTATGTATATCTAAAATCTTCCAATAAATATTTTGCCTAAAAAATAAGTGTGTGCTTTTTAGTTCATAATAGCTAAGTTGTGGAAATGGACTATGCCCATTAAGAGATGAA